CTAAAATAGAAAATAAATAAATGAGCATATTAAAATTGAAAAAAAAAACAATATGGTGTTATATTAAATTCCTCTGCTTTAGACTTTTCACAGCTTCGCCCCTTCCTTGTCGTTGGCTTTATCTCTAAATTTTTAATCCAACACGAAAATTCCTTGGATGCTAAGTTTGAGAACTTGAAACTTTCCTGCTACGTACGTATGTACATATGTACATGTTTGCTTCTGAAAAATTTACTCTACAGTTCTTGTAGCTGTTACTTAGTCCTGCCTTGATCAGCTGATCTTTCAATCGTTGTCGTCAAGATTAACCATGGAGACATGCGGAACGTATGTTGGCTAGGTAAGAGTTTATCTTGCTGCCACATCCAAACCGTAATTGTGCCAGAGAAACAAGGATATCTCGAGGTAGCTGGAACTCTTATGTCGGCAGTCACTGGGCGATAGTTGGTGCAGGTGGTAAAAGTCGCTCTGTAAACGTTGATTGTATTGTCTGTACAATGTCGTATCCAGTGGCTGCTGTAGTTCCGGATTTTCTCCTTCGGTTCATTGAGATGTCTTCTGACTAGCCTAAGCGGAGGTTCTGCTTCCTAAAAGTGCCTATTTGGTTGCTCGAATGGGTAGCAACTGACCAGGAACTGCTTGCTCAGCATTATGTTCCCTTAATAAAGAATCTGGGCGCGATATCTGATTTGATAGCGGCATCAGAAGGCACTCCATAGCTGCCCGTAGTGCTGTGTTGTGGCATGTCTGTGCCATAGTTAAGAACGAGAATTTGAGACTTGCGGCTCTATACTTTATTGGCAGAGTAGGTTGTGTGCCCTGAGAAAGAGAGGAAGGCCCGAATCGTGGCTGTTTTCTCCACAATACAATTTAAATGGGCGGAGCACACTCGATATCGAATGCCGTGATCACAAAACTAAATTTTGATTCAAGTTACGTTCCATATAGAATTCCATGTTCGGGCTCAGGCTTTCAAAAGAAGCCTCTAGAGCTTTCGGGCTGTACACTGTGACATTGGTACGCCATCCATATGAATACCTAGCTAAAATCTGGCATCTTTCGTACTGATGGTAAAGATGTTTAGGTGAGAGGGTTAGGCCACTTGCGAAGTAAAATTACGGTTCTATGTTATCGAACACATGGAATAGTAACGACCGCAATATATTCTGTGTGAGAAGCCTTTTAGAGTTTTCCATGGATTTTATATGGGCGCGCCAGAGTAAAATCCCTCCCGTCGTCACTGGTCTAAACAAACTTCGCACGGAAATAGTCCCACATTTTGCTTAACCCTCCACAGAACCACTAACCTACAGACTAAACGTCGTCTAGCTTACCATGCGATATGACCCGGAAATCCGGTGCATCTTTTCCGACTAGACTGGGATTAGGCTCAGATTTACAGCAATTACCTGGCGAGTCTTCGTGAAGGGTGTTATTTACTTATGAAGGCATGTAATCCCAGCGTTGTATGTACATATGCTTTTGGGTCGAATGACTATTTGAAATGTGGTTGGATTTCGCTCTTTAAAATATTAGAGGTGCCACCTGAAGAGCTTGATTACCATCAAGTACTATATCCAAGTAATTCGCTCAGTTTTTGTTAGCTTTTTCGCTGGTTCCCCAAGTCCATAAATGTTTTGTAGGATCTTTTTATAGAACTTCGTCTCACCAGACAATCATCGTTTCTGCTTCTGCGGCAAGAAGGTGTGTGTATATGATGCTCATCTTCTGAGACTTTGTATCTCCTTTGAAAGTTATGTGTATGTTACTTACGTTAAGAACGAAGTGCCGAATCGCACAATTCCGTTACCATCGATTAGATGCGTTTTAGTGCAGTGACCCGAATCAGTGATCCGGAACAGCGTTTATTTAGAATTGTTACGTACGTAGCTTATTCGAGTTCCAATCACGATGAACCACTAGAGCTAATCAGCCTCATTGTAGGTATCGTGTCGAGTGGAAAATAAAAGGGATTTGCTAAAAACTCCCAAGCGACTAGTGTATTAATAAGGGAAATTTGGCAGAATTTTTGATTTATTATCGTCGTTTGCCCAAAATGCCCCAACGCTTTTATTATAAGACCTTATTTCGACACCTGAGTAGAACATCGACCTATCTCGGCAGCCAGTTCGGAAACGTCCAATCTCAGCACATTTTCAATGTATTTCCATTTGAGATAGGGCGTGTTTGAACCGAATTCTGAGAAAGAGCGTTCTTCAACCCTATTCTGAAATACGGCGTTTGTGAAAAGTTTTTTGAGATAGGGCGTTTTCGAACTGGCTGCTGGGATAGGTCGATCTTCTACTCAGGCGTCGATTAGTTGTAGTTGTAACAACATACAAAATCTCCAAAATGTGATAAGGAATGCTTAGAAAGTGAGCACCTTTGGCTCGAAAAAAATCTGGGAAGTTTGTTAAACGAATACCTGAATGTTACCGAGTAAAGGGAGCCTCTTGAATTGCGTACCGTTGGTGTACGCACAATATATATCTATATTGAGAATATAGTCCGCAATCTTCTTTTTTGTGCGGCTTTTGAGGTCAGCCCATATCTGAAGAAAATTAACAAATCGTATTTTTGGTTATGTTACTAGAATGTTCAGGATTTCTGCTACCAAGTATAAGCTTACCTTTTTCCATTACCCCGTCCCATCGCATCTGAACCCTGGCTCGGTCAGAACCAAAACACACTACAAAATTGTTTGATATTTATAAACTTTTCACTTTATTTACTTCTTTTGGCTGAACGATCCATCTCGACGATCACTTATATCCTTTCGCTTGTTTTTAACGATTATCGGCTCTTATTATTATTATTATTATTATTTTCGTGTTAGACAATTGCAAACTAGACGAAAACAACGTAACGAGCAGCTGTTTTCGTGTTGCCAGACGAAAACGATTTACAAAGTATCAACTGACGAACGATTCGTGTGACAGACGAAACGGACTCTCGTTTCGAGATACATGATGAGGCTGACCATTTATAGCTGAATCCTGACCCAGTTGTCGATATCTCTGTGTCGGAAGACAGTGTCTTTTTATGCGGTCGAATTTATTTCCCTCTTCAAACCAAAGGCAAAGTACATTTGTTTCTCCCATTGGAATTTGTGATATGCATGAACAATCTATATGCCTTTCGCGTAACGCTGGAAAGTGGAGTACGAAATCAGAGTCAGGATATAGTTTTACTTGCGTATTAATTTAGTTTCATCGCATCAACGGCGAATGGATTCGATGAGAAGCTTTTCTTTGGCTGAAATACACTTGGAGGTTGTTATTGTTAAGGTTTTATTTTATTGATTAACGCTTTGACGGCCAACGAGATTTAGAGGTTTTGGTGTTGATTTTGGTTTTTATTCTTTTCTCAGCCTCTGTTAAAAGAGAGAGAAAAAAAACTGTCGACGGGTCCTAAAAAGAGTTATGTTGACTTCAAATATTAAGAGTCTGAAAATTATTAATTAAGGTAATACTATTAAAAATAAAATGAATACGCTTATTGTTTAAACACAAAATCATTGACACATGTAAAAGCATACAAAAGTTTTAAACAAGCGCAGGTCCCCACATCACACACACAGAAAAAAATGTACATATATAAAAAACATGAAATGTATAAATATATAAAATAAAATAATAAATATAAAATTATAAAAAAAGAACCGAACAATATTTTTTAACTCACCTTCTTTAACATTTTCTGCTCATCAACTTAACACTTTTTTCTGAAAAAAGAAAAATTAAAATTTTTATAAAAAATGAAAAAAATATATACATATACATACATATACCGGGGTGGCCACATAAGAGGGGATGCCACTACTTCTTTACAAGTTTTGACCATTTATTTTTTCTTTATTTATTTCATATAATTTTTTTTTACAAAAATATAGTTTATAGCACAACGAAAACCAAGTAACTCAAAGCTTGTACAAGATTTATAAAAAGTCGAAAATTTTCAAGAAAGACTTATCAAATCCCAACTTTTTAAGAACCTTTAGAAAATATTCGGTTATGCAGCTTTATAGCCCTTAAATTTCAATATAACATTGTGCAAGTTTTGAGTTAATATTCCAACGTACTCGAACTTTGTGTAGAATAAAATGAATACATAATAAATAAACAAAATTCTAAAATTGAATGGGCTATAAACTGCATACCCGAATTTTTAATGGATTTTTTTTCTGATAAAAGAGTTTTAAATTTCGATGACCATTTTTTGAAATTTGGCGATTTTTCATAAAACTTTAACAAGGTTTCATACTTTGAATTGCATGGTTTTCGTTGTAGAGTAAACTATTTTTTTGTAAAAAATTAAATAAATGTCCGAAACTTATAGAGGTTAGCCTCCTTAATTATGTGGTCACCACTGTATATCATGTAATTATATAATGTTTTTTTAAGGATTTTTCTTCTCATCTGAACCATATGTAAAATATATTTATTTTGTTTTTTAATAAAAGTGTATGGAGTAAAATATATTACATGTATTATAATAAAAAAATATGAAAAAGTTTAACTCATAAAACTATTTACATACATATATAGTATGTATTTCAATAAAAAAAAAACATAAAAAGAACCATAATACAAATTATGCCTACATGTATGTATGTATTTACACGATTAAACAAATAAATAGACAACAAACCTCACGATTACAATGAAAGAAAAGGGCGTTACATTTGAATGGAAACAAAAGCATCCAAAGTAATCCTTTTCAACACAGAAAAAAGAATACGAAGAAGCAGCAAGAATGTGAAATAAATTAAAATGCTGGAGAAATTTAGAAAATAAATTTTAAAAATTATAAAAAATGCATTTTCACTTTGCTTCCTCAAAGGGCTATCCAAGTCAATTGTACTTTTTAAAGCGCGTAGCGATATATGATGACTTGACTTACTATTTACATTGTTAAAAATGTATGCTCTGACGACTCCTAGACTGAAAATTTAACTGCATTCGGCTGGCATTTTAAGTGTATGTAACCGAAGAAAACGCTATTGTAGACGATGTCTCCCCCATCTCTAAATATACATACATACACATATGTATGTAGTTCTGCTGCATAAAAGGCAACGCCGACGAAAAATTTCTAACAGAGTGTGGTCTAGCCCAGGCAGGTTAGGGCACTAAGGCCCATCTCCGGCAGAACATTACTGAAGTCACCCGCGATATCTGCGAATTCCTTGAATTTCAGTGCTTTTTCAATGGTGCTAAACAAACTATGCAAAGCTGTGTCTAACGACCTCCCAGTAGACATGTATAAAGCTTTACAATTTATTTACACATGTATATATAAATAAATCAATTTCCAGAACCTGGAAAAAGAAAGACGTAAGGCTTATTGGCCGAAGGTCTTCGATGGCTTCACGGAGGAGTGTCTGCCTTTGGAAGTCCAGGTGGAACAGCGTATGCCGATGGATGCTTGGTCAGGGAGTAGCCTTTTTGCTAATATGTGAACTCTGGATACCGGCCGCCCTCCCGTTTCAACTAGACTTACCGTGGTGATATTTCCCTCCAGCTCAGCAATGAGAAATTTCTGAACAATCACTGCTCAGAATCAAATCTCGATCGCTAGCTGGAAGATATTGCGCGGGCTGGCAAGTGTCACTTTGTACATTTAGTACTGCTCATTGACAATGAATCAATGACGAAATTCACTTCGGTGAGTATTCAGATAGCCTACAGATCCGGCCACATAAAACTACATCTACCGAACACTTCGCCTAAAAAGAAGCCGCAGAGTGTTGAGACGGAGTCGGGGAAGCCAACAGATGCCTCGGCAGAAACTGTGTAGGCAGTGCCTGCGTCAGACCACGGTCCTCGTCCAAAATCGCTTCAACGTATGCAATGGGCACCATAAGTGTACTTCAGGCTAATCTTCATCATGCCAGAGAGCCATCGGCTGCCTTATACAGATTAGCCAGCGAACGGAGCTTCGCTATTGGCCTACTCCAAGAACCGTGGTATACTAAAGGCTAAGTAACAGGACTCAGTCGGTCAGGTAGGTTAATATATGACCGGGTGGGAGGTAATCCTCCAACTGCCCTCCTGCTCGTAGAAAATATGAATCACACTCCTCTTTCTCCTTATATTTCCAGGGATGTCGCTGCCGCTGTAGTGGACAGTATCAATATGAGTGAAAGTGGTCTAGACAAAACGATTAGCAAAGCCATGTGGGCCTGTCGAAGACTTTTCGGTCGAACATAGGGTCTTAATCCCAAATTAATGGCTATATCAAACTAGAGCCCGTCCGATTGTAATATGTGCCTCCACAGTCTGGTGGCGTTGCAAAAAAACTGCCGTTTAACTTGTGAACAAACTCCAAAGGATGGCTCTATTGTCGGTGACAGGAGCAATGAGAACGTGCTCAACCGTGGCCTTAGAGTCTCACCTGGGTTGGACTCCTCTCTAAATTTTTGTTCAAGCAGCAGCAGTTTCAAGGAATTTGCAAATGCAAAATTCTGACTGTGCGCTTAAAAACAACACAACATAAAAGTATTTTGAGCAAAATACCAGGTCTAGGAATCTGCGAGTCCTCCGACAATATGCCAATGAAATCTGCTTTGGAAGGAAATATCAAGTAAAAATACCAGATCGAGATGTCTGGTCTATGGCCTACCTGAACTATATCCCAGGTATGTACACTGGTACAACATATGGAACAGATATGGAGGGCAGAGCAGGAGCGGTTATCTTCGGACCTGCCACAAACTTTCTATTGCGATGGGTACCTGTATTTCAGGCCGAGGTGCTAGAAATCTCTATTTCTGCCAAACTGAGCCTTGATTAGGCTTTAAAAGGCGCGTTTCTGGTTATCTTTTCTGTTAGCCAAGCTCCAGGCTCGACAAGGAATGTTTTGACACTATCCAACTTTTGGCCGCAAGGAACATGGTATTACTGTGCTGGGTACCAGAACACTGCGGGATCGTAGGTAATGAGGCAGCCGATGAATTGGCAAGGGAAGGCTCATCGTCTATACTTGTGGAGCCGGAACCGTTTCGAGGATTCCTTTGGTCCTCCTCCTCCTCGGCGCTCATAATCGAAGCGTAGGTAAACTCAGAACGCAGGAGGTACTGGGGAGAGGTAGGCAGCCTTAGATAGGCCAACATTTTTGGTTATCCTTTTGCGAGAAAAGATACAAATCACATGAGCAGAGCCAAAATCAAATTGCTAAGTGTCCGTAATCACTTGCGCTCTCACATGCACCGGATTGGTCTTTCCATAGAGACGGATTGGCGCTTTTGCCTTGCATATGAGGAGACGTCTGACACATTACATATGTATATGTGATTATCCAGCATTAGTCAGACTAAGTCTGCAATACTTCAGTTCTTCCACAGTCGATACCTTTAAGGTTAGGAATTCATCTACAAATAAACTTTTAGTTTTTATAAGCGAGGCTAATAACATCTTGGTCCGTCAGGGTTAGGAACCAACATAGAATACAAAAGATCTTCTAGGTCGCGGTGCCGCTTGGTTCTGTTGCACCTTAAAAAATGTACATAACATTTAAATGTTGTGCTACTATTGAGGTGATCTTCTTATTTATTTTGTCGCAAACCTTATATGTACATACATATGTATCTCCTAATTTATTCTACGTAGATAGTACCTTATTCTTTCAGTGTATTTTCCGTAAGCAAAGCTTTTCATTCACAAAACTTTGTAAAACCGCACTGATTTAACTACTTATACCACATTTTCGCATACACATGGCATTTGGCCAACGAAAAGCTCACGATGCGCGCGTCTGCATAGGTTTATTTTTGGCCGTGAAAATGCCAAAGCTTCAAACGACACACACACACAATTACATATACTTACATGCGTGTAAAAGGTGTACACAAGAATAGCGAGAGCAAAACAAAATGCAATAAGCAGAAGTGAAAGGAAAAAAAGGGTAAGAAGGAGCGTACAAACTGAGTGTAGCTCAATTAATTGATGAATTATTTAAATTGCATAAGGAACAAGCCATATTTTATTAAACACATACACATACGTACATATATGCGTACGTCTTCCTACTAAAAAAAAAAAAAAACAATGCAAGCGGCCTTAACCGCTATCACTCAGCCTCAGCTATTGACAACATCCGCCGGTAAGAGCGTTTAGCTTTTTACACGCTTCTAAACTTTTGTATCCTCGCCAGCTATGGCTGCTGTTTGTCAAGTTCGGCTCAGTTGTGTGCAGAAGCACCACGGAAGCGGACGTGATATTTAACGGTGGCATTTGGAAGCCGTCAATTATGTGGCGCTTGCGTTTTTGTGCTTGCAGCATTTACTCGCATGTTCTATTTATTGTGTATGTGTTTGTGCACATTTTATAAAATAAAATTTAATTAAAGAAAATTCGTGGCTATGTAGAGTTTGTCTAAGTGTGTAAAGTCATTAAAAATACATATATACATATGTATATTCATAATTGAATTAAAAAACGATATGCAGTTATTTAGTATATTTTTCGATAAAATGTGCCAATAAAAACGCTCAACGAATATTATTTATTTGGAGTATTTGTTTCAGCTTTTTAATGTCTTCAAGCTCAAATTCGGGAAAAAGCATAAGTTTCAGTGAAAAAGTTTAAGTTATCCTTACATATTTACATACTTCGTTACTTCTACATATCAACTTCTACAGCTACATACGAACATATCAGCCTACTAAGAGTATCCACTCCTGCTAAACACATACATACATACTTATAAGGCAACGTCATCACA